ATCAAACGGCCAAGTTATCTGCAAAAACTGAAGACAAGCTTATGAATGCTAGAGATCGTAGAGTGGGACTTATGAATGAAGTAAGTCCTTTAGTGTTATATATTACCAATATATGCCTTTATACTTATTATATTTACAAATGAAGGTTCTACAAGGCATTCGAATGATTAAATTCTTTTCCTGGGAGAAAAACTGGGAAAATAGAGTATTAGGTTCATATCATTTTTTTTCCTTTTATTTCGCACGTTTTCTAAATTTTGGCATATTAATTATTATTATTATTATTATTTTTTGTTGTAGAGTCCCGTAAAATTGAACTTAAACAACTTCGAAATCACTACATTTATTTGGCCATGTTTGATCTATTGTGGTCTGGTTCACCTATCTTGGTCACTATTCTCAGCTTTTTCTTTTACACCAAAGTTCAAGGGAATGAACTTACAGCATCTATTGCTTTTACTTCGTTAGTTATTTTTAATGAACTTCGATTTGCCCTTAATATTTTACCCGAACTTTTTATGGAAGCACTTCAAGCCTTGATTAGTCTAAATAGAATAGAAAAATTTCTAGATGAAGATGAAATCGATATTCCATCTGAAGTTAATCATTCGCCTATAACATCAATTTCTTTTGAAAATGCAACTGTTTCATGGAATAAAATTAAGGAAAATAATAATGATGAATTTACTATGCAAGATTTGGACCTTGAATTTCCCGTGGGTGAATTAAGCATTATTTGTAAGTTTCAACATTTGTTTCAAACCAGTTTTTTCTCGCTATTTTTTAAAAATTATAATTTGCTTATGTTATATATTTTCTTAGGCGGACCGACCGGATCCGGAAAGGTTGAGTACAACATGTCTATAATATATATACATGAAAATATTTCTATAAATACTAATATATTTTTTAATAAACATGGATTAAAAAGACTTTGTTAATAATGTCACTTCTTGGTGGTAATTAAACTAATTTCATTAAATTCATTATTTTTTTGTAACCTATGTATCCTTGATCAATCTAATTTATTTCTTATCTACAGAAGCAAATATTTGTAGTGGCAAGATTAATAGTCCTCACTATTTCACATGCCCTACCAATAAAAATATTAATGAAAGCAATTGGATTCTTCCGAATTGTACTGCCTACGTTGCACAACAAGCATGGCTTCAAAATGCCTCTATTCGTGATAATATTCTTTTTGGTCTTCCTTACAATGAAAGTCGTTATAATCAAGTAATAAATGAATGCGCGTTAGAAAAGGATTTCCAAATATTTGAAGACGGTGACATGACGGAAATTGGTGAAAAAGGAATTACACTTAGTGGTGGTCAGAAGATGCGTGTTGCTTTAGCAAGGTAAATTAATTATATAGTATGATTTATATAAATAATTATTCATTCGGCTTGATACTAAATTGTAAATTTCATAGAGCTGTATATTCGCGAGCAGAACATATATACTTCGATGATATCTTTAGCGCTGTTGACGCACATACTGCTTGGAATATTATGAATAAATGCCTATTAGGTCCTATTATGAAGGGACGTACCCGAATTCTTGTAACGCATCATATTAGGCTCTGCTTGGCTAGTGCTGCTTATTTGGTATGCGCAAACTAAATTGCATTTTAATTATTTAATATTGTATTAATTACGACTAGATTTATTTTAGGTTGTCGTAAATAACGGAAAAATTGCCGCATCTGGAACTGTTTCAGATCTGCGTAGTTCAGGAACGTTGGCTTCAATCCTTGAAGAAGCTGATAGTCGGTCCGGAATACTGAATTCCGTCGAATTTGCCGCTGAAAATACTTTTAATTCTGATGTCAGTAATATTTCCGAACAGTCTACCTCATCTTCCACCATTCTTACTCACAATAACGATTCATCAACTGCTTCCGATGCAACTCTTGTCGATAATGGCGCTCAGATGAATGATTCACAGCAAATTAAAAAAGTCTCTAAACCAAAGGTTCTTGTCGAAGAA